CTCAGCCCAGAAAAGGAAAAGCAGAATTATTTAGAATGGAAAGTGAGCACAGCAGCCAGGTAAACAAGAAAACCATGTGAACCAGACAGGGAGACAGTGTATGTCTGCTCCTGCTCTTTGAGGTAGGCTATAGACAGAGATTTTTAATCTCAAAGCCATCAGTAAGATTTTGGAAGAAAAAGAAAGAAAAACCAAACCACTGGGAGAGGGTTTACTCCAGACTCTGAAATCAGATCTCTACCAGCCTAGGTGGTGGTGGTGATGGTTCCTGCACTGTCTGCAACAGCAGTGGTTTTAATGTGCATATTAGTAGGTTCCTACCTTCCTGGTTTGTGCTGTGGCGTTTCCTTTCTTTTCAAGCACTGGCAGTGCACAGCTCTGCCTAGCACGAGGCTCTACAACAGGAGCACAGGGGGACCCTGGACCTAAGGACAGTTGTTACTCTGTCCAAGCACCACGTAACAGACTAAAGAACTGGTGGCATTTCCTTTCAGATTAATTTTGCAGAAATTTGCACATTCCCTTTTCATTGCTCTCAGGTACAAAGAACAGTCTTGAATTGATATTACTCTAAAGATGAGGCTGATCCCTCCCTCACTTTTGATACATATAAAGACATATTGCAGACAGCAGCTATAAAATCCCATCCTTCTCTTATACCTAGTCTAAAAATGGTGGAATTCTGTATTCACTGCGAGTCACAAAGGTTTTGTTGATACAGAAATGGCACACAGAATCCTTTAATCTTCCTGAGAGGTGCTTCTTCACACTTGCAGATCCACTGTCTGAGTACAGCCCCAATAGGATCTGTGTACCATATCCAGAAGAAACAGTATCTTATGGAAGAACTCTGTGCCATGATCACAGATGACCACCTAGAGATCTCCTCCGAGTTGTGGATTTGCCATTCTTCACTACTGGGAGCCAGAGGTTGCTCTGAGATCACCATGTAACTTGTTCATTTCCCTGGTAATTGCAAAGCCTGCTAGAAAATGGGAATTCCTCCCATTGGGATTTTCACAGGGAATACCCCCATGTTACATTTTCCTTTCAGCAAATAATGATTTTCCCCATGGGATGAATTAAAAAAAAAAAAAAAAAAAAATCAAGTATATGGCAAAGCTGCTGCTTTGCTGCTTTCCAAATCTGTTCTTTGCTGAAGTATGGGCCTCCCCTCTTACACTTTCTGCTTTTTAGCCAGAAAGGAAATCAATCTGTTATTAGATGTCCTTCACTTGGCTTACTGCTAAAAGTACAAGTGTTAGTTTCCTTCACAGCTTATAAAAACGTGTGTGATTAGGGTGTGTTTTAGCACAGCTAAAATACCAAAAACCAACCCACCATCCCAAAACCAGAGTACTGCCCCACAAAAGAGGTCAAGAGAATAGGCTCTGGCCAAAAATATGCCAGCGCTATGACATCCAGCTGTTCATTCTCTTGTCTTTACAAAGCAGCCCGTATTTCCTCCAGTACCCCTCAGAGTCAGCAGTGTCCTGGCTGCATCTGCTCCATCAACTGATTTTCTATTGCATTTTGCACAGGCCTCTCTACCCTTCTGCACTTAGGGACTGGCAGTGACCTGCTTTGTGTGTCCTGCACACAGCTGCAATATAGTTCTGAGCTGCGCGCAATCACATACATGGCTGTTTTCTGCCCCTTTTAGTGATGTAGCAGCGTGCCTGTCCTCAGGATCCCCTCTTCCTCTGTTGTCTGCTCCTGTGCAGGCTGTATGCTGCCACTGAACTCAAAGACTAGGTTGTTATCAAACTCTTCATTAGGAGGCACAGATCTGAGTGACAAAATTAAGCCTCAGGAAATGAACAGAGGCGAGAAGAGGTGAGAGAACATTTCACACAGGCCACAAACCTTTGCTTCCTTTCTACCTCATACTTTTTTACTTCTGCTGCACAAAAAGCTGCAGCTACAGAGTCTTCTCAACACTTCCCATTCACCTCAACCCCACTTGCATGCTTCTTTTGGCCTTGCTGAGCTTTGTGGTAACTTCTTATGCGTCAGAGTTTCTAGCTGCAAAATATGTTCCATTTTGTGCCTATAAACTGCCTTTTCTGTTTCTCTGCTGTGCTTTACATGCCAGATTGGAGGTTATGCCAAGGCTTTGTGTTTTACAATGGAAGCACTTATGAATAGAAGCTGATTAAGGCTTTGCTTTCCATCCTGCTTTTTGGAAAGGAATGGGCTGTAGTGAAGCTCAGATACTTCTGAGAAATGACACTACTGCCCAGTGATTCCTGGATTTGTCTGCTTTGCTGATCCTGACTGCGCTAACTTGATGGCTGTCAGTGCATGATGGCACTAGGGAAGACTGTGGTTCTAAGGGGTGCCATATATTGCCACCCTTTCTTTTCCAGAGTCTCACTTTTCAGCTTAGATCTATTCCTATTAAGAATTTGAGGTGATCGTGCCTACCTTGCTGCATATAGCCCACTAGGAAAAGAAATATAAGTCCCTACATTATATACTTACAACCTCTAGGTTGGTTTTGAACCTATTGCTTTGATACCCTCCCTGGAAAGCATCTTCCACTTGAAGATACCTGGATGTGGGTGCCAGGAAACCACGCAGTGCAAGCTGAGTCCCCATGGATTTCTTTCAAGCTACTCTCCAAGTGCCTCATTCCTGTGTGAAAGATTACATGTGTGTCTATATTACAGACAAGTAAAAACATCTAGGTGGAAAAATAAGAATGACACAAATCTGAAGAAATAGCTCTCTGAGGATCAGCAGCTACCAGCCGCAGGCTGAGAGAGGGCAAGGTCTGGAAGGAACTCTCCTGAACAGAGGGTGGAAGAAGGTGCTCTGAAGCTCCTGTCTGGCTCAGCTGTAAGGCCGGACTCGAGGGGGCTCAGCTTTGTTTAGTGAGTGCTGTGAGGCCTTCCTGTAACACACCTTAAAAGGGAAGCTCTGCCGGAGGTGGCGTGAGTCATGCGAGGGAAATGTTCAGGCTGTTCCTCAGACAAAAGCAAATCCAAATTCCTGAGAGTGGTCTCACCCCTTTGCTATCTGCAAGCACCAAAAACCCAGGGGAAGACTTCTTCCCAGCCTTAATCGAAAGTCTCTCGGCTGAGGTGCCTGATAAGTGACTACAGGGACTGGAGTAGGGAGGGATACACAGAAAAAGGTCCAGGAAACATCTTTGTAGTTACACTCTGTTTATTGCCGTGGAGATCTCAGGAAATGGCAGTTTTGGTGTTTGGCAGCTCAACAGAAGGTTCTGCACCTCCAAGGAGGTTTTGTCTTTTCCAGTCCTTCTTCCACGAGGCGCTGACCTTTCTCTCCTGAGCCATATATATTTTGTATACCCCTCCTTCAGTAAAACCCACTGTGTTGTAATGTGTGTACAATTATTAGCTTAGTCCTGATAAGTCACAAGATGCTGAATATTAAAAATCTAGAAAATACAGAATATGAACTGCCAGAACATTCAGCAAGCAGCAAATCCCACATATCCCATCCCAGACCTGGAAAGCCATATTAATGATAACCAGTTTAGTGCTGTTTAGCAGAACTTGTGTCCTCACAGCAATCCTTGGGCACAGGAAAGGTACCAGGGCAAGAAGGATGGAGGGAGGAGAAGGATCACGATAGCTGGGATCAATATCTGGCTGATAGCCAGTCACTGGACTGTGATGTGGCACTGAATGGGCAGCAGGCAGGAGTTTGTCTTCTCCAAGCAGGCTGCAGCTGTGTGGCAGAGAGGGATGCTCTGTACTCATGTACTGACTCTTTTGTTTGGGGTTTCATTTTCCTAACAACTACTGCACATTGTCATTTGTAGGGCTTTCTCGTGTAGGTTACACAAGGGCTGCTGATAGTAAATGCCAGCAGCTCTGTTAACCCTAAAGATCTGGGTCAGATTGTAAAACAATGTTTAAGTTGGTAACTGAGGGGACTAAAAGTTTCCTCACAAGTTTGGTAGTGAAAGCCGGGAGGAAGGCTCATTGTGCCCTCTAGTGTGCACAGCCTGGAGCTCCACTGGCCCCTCAGCATGAGGCATGAGGGAACTGAATCACAGAACCATAGAATCAGTCAGCTTGGAAAAGACCTTTAAGCTGAAGTCCAACCGTTCCCCAGCACTGCCAAGGCCACCACTGACCCATGTCTCCAAGTCTTCTGATCATAATACATTGATAACATGAACCTTTAAAAGCTGCTCCTCTCTCATTCTAACACTGGCCCTGGTATGCTGGAGGAAAAAGAGTAAAGATGCTGGATCATGCCTACGCAGCAGGCAATAAAGCAGCTACTGCTCATAAAGGAAGGTGCCACACTCCAAATCACTGTAGACAAGCTTCTATTCTCTACAGTGACCAAGCTCAGGACTATTGCTGAGCTTATGACCACCACACCCCACCCTTCCCAGGCTGTTCCTTGTCACTCAGTTCACCAGAGGGTGCAAATTTCTTGTTTCATTAACTTCTAACAGCTTTCAATGTTTTTCCCCATTCTTTCTAATAGCAATCAGCTAAAGCATTGATTCCAGAGGAACATCACACTGTACTGCCTGGACCCTTGCCCAAAGGTCTTCAAAAGTCCTTTGTTATGTGCTGCCAGGCAATGGATAGAGCATAACTGCCAGGTAGCTTTTCAAGTTCTGCTCCTACACAGCAGCAGAGCACATTTGCATCTCCAGGTTTCACAGAAATAAGCCCTTTAGCAATGTGGAGGGGATTTTTTCCTTATTTTCCTCCCTGAAGAGTTGTAAGGTGCTTCTGGATGCTGTGGTGTCTGCTCCTCCTGGACTGAGCTGCTCTTGGGACAGGAAACTTGGGAGGCAGGAGTCTTCTCATTCATCTTCCTGAAATTCCCCAAGTATTCTGAAGAAATCATTGGGGTTTTATGGCAAAAGTTTCCTGTGGTACAGATGCTCTTTGTGAGAGCCAGAGACCATTGTTACGTACAAATGTGTGGTTTTCACAAAAGAGGTAGCAGCCTTTGGGAAGTGAAACCTTAAATCCTCCACTGACTCTGGTTTTCCACAGGACTCTATGTGCTGGTGGGAGCCGGAGCTCTCATGACCACAGTTGGATTTTTTGGGTGCTGTGGAGCAGCGCGGGAGTCTCAGTGCTTACTTGGAGCAGTAAGTAAAAGGTTTCAAGGGCCTGGGCTGCACAGCAAGATAATCCCAAAGCATATGTGTCACTAGTGGGAAAATATTTATTGTCCCAGACCTGGAATGCCTTCAGTCTTTTCACTGGCTGATCTAGCTATTGCAGAGATTCCATACATGAAGAAATTCCATTGCTTGTCTCATATGACATGCTGGAATTTCCTTCTGGCTTTTCTGAAGCTACCAACTGAGCCACATCTCTGCCACTTCCACCTTAGTTCGCATATAACAAGAAATCTGACCTGACTCTTTGTTACTGCCCCTGCTACCAGCTTCCTTTTGGTTACTGTGTGAGCTTCTTGAGGCTCAGGCCTGGATGAGGGACTGACTGGCAGTGCATGTAAAGCAGTATCGTGCAATGTTTAATAATGTAAGATTCTCTTCTTCATCTGCAGTTCTTTGCTTGCTTGTTGGTGATATTTGCAGCCGAGATCACTGCTGGAGTGTTTGCCTTTATAGGCAAGAAAGTGGTAAGTAGCAAGAAACTTCTAACGTAATGAATGGGTACTTACAAGACTCTGGCATGCAGTGACCTACAGTCTGGCTCTTACATTGCAAATCTTTCCAGAGACTTTTCCCAGGAAGACTCTGACTTTCTTATGTGGAGTCAGTGAGAGTTTGTGTTATCACCAGTCCAAAATGGGATGCATTCCTTCCCCCCCCTCCAAAAGAAAATCTGCAGGTGTCATTCAACCTCACATCCACCAGGAACATCAAGTAGATCTGTATGATAAGAGGGCATTGCTTAGGAAAAGGGCAGAGATTCAAGCAGTGAACTTCTCCAACTAACAGTGTTTAACCAAAACATAGAATACAGCAGATGTAAATTCTGACCCATGCAGAGTGCCTCTGAATGCCATCAGGCCACAAAACCTCCTGTCTTTCCAATCCCGGTACCTCAGTTTACCAGGCATCATTTTCTGCTCTGGAGGCTGATGACACACCTGAAGTCTGCAGTGGATTGCAGGTAACTCACATGGAAAGTTTGATTTCTACAGGCAATACAGGAAGCCCAGAAGATCTATGAAGACATTTATGATGACTATATGAAAAATCCGGGGGGGAAGGTCAACAGGACTATCTATCACTTACACATGGCTGTGAGTAGTCCTCAACTTTAATACCTTACGTTGCTTCTCTACCGTCACATTACCTTTTAAATTCAGAATGCCTCCCACTGAGGTATGAAAGAACAGAACTGAGTGTTACTTAGGATGGATCAAGAGGCTCACAACCTGGTTTCCTAATGGCTCTGTCAGAATTCTAAAGTGATCCCTACCTCTGAAAGTGAAAATGGCCAGGCTTTTAAACTTCAGCTGATGCTTCTGGACCGTGTTGTGCAGAAGATACAACTCTTATGGCCCTTCTGGATATTAAAATCCAGGAAGAAATACTCACAAATGTAGAGGGAGATAAAGGTCTGAATCTCTCTGCATTTGTCAGAGAGAAAACTGACCCATGTCCTAGGACCTCCAGTGTGGCAGATCCTGTCACTGACTGAACCAAGTAGGTAAAGAAGCAAAAGCACGTGGGTGGCTCAGTTCAGGCCACCCAATAAGTTAGTGTGTGAATCAGAACTGGAACCTGCAACTTCCTGAATCTTGTTTGTGTCCACCCTGTATCTACACTGCCTCCCGCAGAGATAAAGCCCAAGCTTTGTTTCTCCTTGCAGCATTCCCACGTTCTTTAGAACAAACATTTCACAACCTCAGACCCTCTTGTCCTTCTCCCATAGTTGTTATTTCTGACCCAAGAAAGAATTCCAAGCATTTTGTGGGAGATAGGCAAACAGGAAAAACAAACCCTCTGAACACTCTGATTTATTACCGTCTCCAAACCCAACTATGTTTTGTCAGAACTAGATTCTGGCATTCTCTGCTGCAGCTTCTGTGTGTTGCACATAATTCTGCATGTGCTATTTGAACTTTCTGCTTTCTCCCTTTAACAACTCCTGTTTTCCTATAAGCCAGGGAGCTGCTTTCCCAAATCCACAAGTTTGCTCAGAGATCTGTAATAAAAACCCTACCTGGAAGTTGTTGTTAATACAAATCTGTTTGTTTGCTATGGCTTCAGACAACTGAAACCGATTTTTGAGTTGGAAGTGGCAATTAATATAGGGAATTTATTTATTACTTGTTCTGTATTGTTTGTTGTTATCTATTGTCTCACCTTCAGTATGAAACCAGTCTGTGCTTTCTCCTTCCTTGATCCTTCATCTCTCCCTCATTTAGCTCCAATGTTGTGGTAAAGATGGTATAGAACAACAAATGGGACTACCCTGCCCAGAGAACATCCAGCTGCCAAAGGCAAGTATCCTCTGTTCTGGTTGATATAATCACTTTATTTATGTCAATTGTTTAGTAAAATTGAAGATATTCTATAAGTAAAAGAAAGGAAGAACTTCCTTTTTACAAGTGCCAGCATGAAATTCCATATGAAATAGAGCAGAATGGAGGCAGAAATAAGATGGAAGTTGTACTGAACATACCCAGCCCTCATTGCTGAGGCCTTCTTACAGTATCCCATGGTAGCTGAGACAATATTACATCATCTGAAAAGTGGGAGGGATGTAGTAGAACAGCAGTCCTAAATGTAAAGCCCTGTGAAGGCTGCCTGCAAGGAGGTTCCTGACTAGGAACTTTGTTGGTCTTAAGAAGGATAGTTAGTTCTGTCTTGGGTGGAATCTGCTTGTGAGTGCAATGTTGAGCTGAAGGGCCAAACTTCCTGATTTGGCATGGCCCATTATAGAAAGGGTTTTAAATTTAAGGAAAACCAGAAGACGACTTGTCTGTGTCAGCTGGTACAGGGAAGAGATGTCTCACTAGAAAAGGGAATACACTGGGAAAATTGTCCTACAAAACACAAGACACAGATGGAAGAATTAATACAGTGTCTGCAGTAATATTTTTCCTAATATCTGTTGTTTAGAGCTGCTTGGAGTATATTTTTCTAGGAATAAAGATCTTTCCATGTTTTTTTTAACAGAGCTGCCTGGTTGAGATCCAGAAAGTAATTGATGCTAATCTGCATTTAGTCGGAATTGTTGGAATTGCAATTGCTGGCATCACAGTGAGTAAATCCATCTTCTCATTCTCAAATCTCTATCTGAGCCCAGTACCCTGTCTCTTCCTCAAAGCTTTGTGGAAGGTCTTACGGCAACTGGCAAGATTCCTCAAAGGTGAAGCTATTCCTATCACTTTCAGTATATCTTCTCTCTGGGAACTGTCCACATTGGTGCAAGCAGACTTGCCTAACTTTGTTTTAGTAGTTCATTTTGTGCCCTTAGACAGGGTCCCAACTATCTAATGGCAGTGCCCATGAACCAAACTGAAAATCAAAAGGCTGTAGCAGGATTTAATCTATTCTGCAACAACTACGGACTGACGCTTTAGGCCCTTTAAGGATCCATTCCTTAGATTTCATAAAGAATAGAGTGCCTAACTTTTGCACAGAAATGGCTTTCCAGGAAACTGCTGGCTCTAGCATTGGTTCAGTGCAAAGGATAGTTAATAACAGTTCTCCTAGGTCACAGACTCAGCACTCAGTAGGTATTTTGATAAAGGAACACTGCAGCATTTCTTTCCTAAACCTCCTTCTAGTTACAGAAGCTGTTTCACCAAACTGTGTCAAAGCATCAATAACTTCCCTTACAGTCCACCTTCTCTCCCAAGCATGTATTGTATTCTCAAGGTCTGCTCCTCCACCACAGAGCTGTGACCAATAGATGTCACCCTGCCGCAAGGATGTGCCAGGTCGGGCAGTCTCTCAAACAGGCCTTTCCAGCGCTTGTGCCATGACTTCCTTCAGGCCCAGAAACCAGCAGTAGCCTGAAGCAGCTTGAGGAACCAGAGCATGAGTAAAGAAATACACCTTTAGCTGCTTTGGTGAGCAGGAGGTTCCTGGACTTACATGGACACTTAAAAGCAGATGAAGGTTTTATGCAAGTGAAAGAAACCATGGCATGGGGAAGGGGGATGAAACAATCCTGTGATTTGTACAAAATGTGAATGCACACTCAAAAATACAGCAAAGCAACACAGAGTTTCGGTAACCTCATTGCTCACCAAGCACTAGAAATATGAATCTCTCTTCTATGGCTTCCCACCTCAGCTAAAGCAGAAGTTATGGAATGATAACCCCTTCAGCAGCAGAAGCATGTCTGGACACTTTTTTTGTGCTTGTTTCTGACACTTCAAGAGCAGGGTGAGATGCCTCCTTCTTCATTAGGGAGGTGTGTGGGGAGGGGATATGAACTCAGTGGTGTAACTGCCCAATAGTACTGCTCACCTTCAGTCATTAGCAATGAAGCTTCAGGAGGTAGCTGCTAAAACTGTAGCAAAAAAGCAATTTCTGGAGACTCTGGCAACACTCACTGTTCTTTGACATTCCCTCTAGTTACCCAGCTCCCTAACATGGATAGTTTTATATTTACTGTAGAGCCTTGGTCTTGAGTCATTCATAACTGTTAAGAGCTTGGCTTTCTCTGCAAAACCACAATGCTCAGCACCAGACCTGGTTCCTCTGGAATCATCCTCTGCTCTTGCTCAAATATGTATACAATATTCCATGTTAAGCATTCTGAAATTCAGAACCTTTTGAAGCAATTCCAGGCATAACAGCAATAGTCACAGTGAAATTTATGTTAATAACATTAATGTTTGGGGCTGTTCTGCTGGCATTAACATTTAGGACAAAGAACACCGATAAAATCTTGGCTTTGAGTATCAGTGAAATCTCTTTGATGTTAACTGTATGATGTCTTGGGGTTTGTAGATGGAAGCAGCCACCTGCTACTCTGCAGTTACAACCTTCCGATTGCTCTGATATGCAGACTATTTTATAACTGTGTTGTAAGTAGATTCCTAAATCACATCCCTTCTCTTCTAGATCTTTGGCATGATATTCAGCATGGTTCTGTGCTGTGCGATCCGTAACACAAGAGACATGATCTAAAACTGTCACTGCACAACTGTGTCCCAGGAGTTCCAGACTAAGCTTACAAGAAGTGTTCTACCCAATTTAATAATTGTAATACATTTTAATCAGTGTTTTAACATAATGAGGGTAAATATCCCATTAGAGGAGCAGGTGGATTGTATTAGTTACAGTAAAACAGAAGTGAACAAAAAAGGGGTTTTAAATGTACTTTGTAATGAAGAAAAGCAAAGGTGCATCTATGACTAATTGTTAATGTTTGTATATGTGCAATTAAGAGTTTACACATCAATAGACATGGTGTAAGCATATGCATATCTCTCTACATATGTGCATGAGTAGGTACCTGTCTAGGTATGTATGTGCAAATCGACTGTGCTGTGTGTGCATGTTTGCAGGCAGTCTTCCAGAGCCTCACTATGCAAGAGCGTGCACACCCCACATACACACAGTGCTTGGAACCCTTCATATCCAGCCCATTTGCCAAGGGTTAGCAGAGGAACAAATGCCACTTTAAAAAGGGAGATCTAGGATCTATTTTGTAATAGTTCTTTTCAAAGCCTCACAGAGTAGAATTAATAAAATTGGACTTTATTAAAACAAATCTAATGCCTAAAGGCCTGCTCCAGCAAACTCAAATTCATGTGAGGAGACCCACTGGCACCACTGGCATGCAGAGACTGGATTTGGTGTGGTTACCCTTCATGCAAATGCAGAAAGCTCTGGGAGAAGAAATACATCCAAGGAGATCCAGGCTAAAGGAAGAGGGGGAAAGAGGTGGGAAGCTGATAAGATAATGCAGTCATTTGGGAGCAAGCGCAGTGCTAGCCTGAGATACACACCAAAAACAATAGAAATCTGAGTAAAAGGGACCACTAAAATCTTTATTCAGAAGTCCCTTTATCCTGCAAGACTCTATATGGGATATATACTGGTGCAGGACTGGAGCCTATGGCCAGAAAAGCAGCAGCTTTGTAGATAGTCTGTAGAATCTAACTGGCCTGGGGAAGCCAACTGAAGAGTGAGAACAGTCAGGGGAAGACACACAGCACTTTAATATCCTCTGTTTCTGCTTCTGTGACTATCACAGCTTCCATGGGGCTCTTACCTCAACCTCTCTCCCTTTCTTGCAGGTATAAGGCAGGAAAGAAAGATGGGACATATTTACAGAGCCAAAAAGTACATTTTTTCTTTAATGGCACCTTTCGATGGTGTGTCAGGTATAAATGTTACACTGTGTGCTTGAAATACCTCAGGGCTCGAGTTTACATCCTTTGTTTCTATATTTTTATTTTTCTATTTGTCATATTTATGAATAACAGAATGTTCCTTTTAAAACAGTCTAGAAGGGAGAAAGGCTGTCCCCAGAAGGGGAAAAATAAATTACATCAAAGGCTCAGAATCTCTTAATTCTTTTGCTTAAGATAATTCACCATTTCAGAAAATAGCTTTTTGCTGATGATACCCACAGACCAGCTCTGGTTCTCTCATGACCACTAGACCAAATTCTTGATGCACTTGTTCCATACGTGATGGGAAAGAATTCAACTAAACTACATTTCTCATCAAAATGGTCCCTGCTGTCTAACAGGACTTGGATTTACAAGTCATGGGGTCTTTATGCTATGGAAACATGATGGAAAGAAATGGGATTTCAGAAAATGCGTGCATTCTAGTGCACATTTGTGTAGAATACACATCCCTCATCAGCTTTACCTCTCATTTCTCAAAGAGCCTCAACTCCCATCACTTTTCTGTTACTTCAGGACTGGAAATAGTGTTGCTGTTCCATGAAGCCAATTGAATCATAGAATCGTAGAATCGTTAGGGTTGGAAAGGACCTTAAGATCATCTAGTTCCAACCCCCCTGCCATGGGCAGGGACACCTTACGCTAAATCATATCACCCAAGGCCTCGTCCAACCTGGTCTTGAACACTGCCAGGGATGGAGCATTCACAACCTCCCTGGGCAACCTATTCCAGGGCCTCACCACCCTAACAGGAAAGAATTTCCTTCTTATATCCAACCTAAACTTCCCCTGTTTAAGTTTTAACCCGTTACCCCTTGTCTTGTCACTACAGTCCCTAATGAAGAGTCCCTCTCCAGCATCCCTATAGGCCCCCTTCAGATACTGGAAGGCTGCTATGAGGTCTCCACGCAGCCTTCTCTTCTCCAGGCTGAACAGACACATCCTGCTGTCCTTTACATAGAGCTCTCTTCAAATCCTTCAAGCACAAGCTGTGAAAGTGAGACAGCCATGCATTAATGCTGCAACAGGCACTGCAGTTTCTGGGCCTAGCTTCAGGTACCCAGCTGACAGGGAGATATCATACACCAAAGAAGAGTTAGGCTTGTGTCACTGTTCACAGCCAATTAGCTACGGATGCCATGTAAAAGTCGGGCCTGGGACCTTATTCTGTCAACATCAGACCAGGAAATAGGGCCCCAATCTACTCTGTGCTTCTAGGAAAGACTCAACTGGGAGAATGACACTGGCAGCCAATCAGTGAGGGTCTTGAGCTGAAGCTAAGAAAGTTTCTCAGAGCAGAAAACTGACACAGCCGAAGCAATTTCCCAGATCCCAGGTACATCTGAGACTGCCCCTGCAACTGATTCTGCTCTAAGGAGATCACAGGACAGTACACAGCTGAGGTGGTTTCTCCCAAGCTAATACTGACAGGAAGAAAAACCTGTGAATAGTGTCACTGCCACTCAGAGCAGAACAGCCTTCCAGAGAACCAGTAAAAGCAGCCCATTAGGGCACACTGGTTCAGGTTCCAACATTATTGCCCTACAGGGATAGAAATTTACTGCAAACAAAGCTATGTCCTTCTGTTACAGTCCCTCATCATGACAGCATTTTATTTTAAACACATCTACATAAAACTGATTTCAGTTCCTCAAATGTAAGGCACTAGAATGTAATGACAGAACCAGAGTTTACTTGTTTACTGTTTCTTGAGCAAGTTAGAAGATGCCCACTCCTGCTTTTGAGACACACTGACTAAAAAGGCAGCTTGCAGAACCTTCTGTTGCTTCCCCAGCCCCCCCAAACCCTCAGAAACACAAAACCATCCAAGCACCTTATGAAAACAGGCAAGAGTGGTATAAGAGGTCTTCTATATGTTTAGACTTGAAAAAACAAACTTTGTGCTCAAGTGTTTTGGGTCTGTGGGGTGGTTTCTTTCTTCATCAGTACATTTGTTTTTCTGAGCATAGCTACTGCTTATACTGTAGAGTTTACTGCTACATAGGTATAGGGGATATTTGCACTGCATATCAGGAACAGAATAATACCAGTTACTGGTTCACTTCTCCAACTTACTGGCATAATTTAAGCTGGAAATCAACATGTTATCAACTAGTAGATGTACTTTAACAGAATCCAGAGATGTAGCCTCTTTTGTTACCAAGTGCACAGTATATTTGCAGTTTTCTCTGTAACTGAAAGTCTTTAACTCATTGAAGGACAGAAAGTACAACTGTTCCTTCCCTGACAAAGCTGGAAGAATTCTTTTCTAATGCTTTTAGATCACAGCTAGTTAAAAACTCCAGTTTCCATTGACTAGCTTGAGCAGCCCTTTTGAAATGCTCAGGTGTCACAGGCAGGGATATGCCTATCCAAACTGAATATATAGCGCCCATAGCTCACTGTGCTGCTGCTCTTTCATTACACTCTTCAAAGTGCAAGATCTTTGATATTTGTCAGCAGTACAAAACCATTTCCAAGCAACTACACCATGTCCTCAATAGGAAAGCTTTTCAAAGGTAACTAAACCCAAACCAGGGTCTAAACTTCCTCAAATACAGTTCATGCTCCAGAGTTGTATGCCAGGATTTCATTAACAAACTCCAATGCACCATATATATCAAAACTGCCCTATCAGTCAGCAGAAGTACCTGTTTAGTCCCATCCCTTGTACCTGCTTCAGAGGAAAGCCACAAAATATCCAATAACTCTGAAAGCACATCACACATATTTTCCTCGTCCCCTGTCAGTTTGCTCTAAAGCATCGAAAGATGTAAATTGTTGATGTCCTTAATGTATGTCTAAGCATCATTATTCACATTTCACTTGTCTAATTTTAATAAGTAACTTACTTCAGTGGGAGCTTTGTTTCTTACAGGAGAACCTCAGCCGGTTTTGCTGTCATGCAGAGGTCACGCAGGTGCTGATGCTCAGCCCTGTAACAGCCCTGCAATGAAGAGTAATATTTCTTTATGCTGAAAGTGATAATTTTATAGCAAAATCTATTTCATATGTACTGAAAAAGAAATTGAGTTATCTTAAGCCTTCAAATGCTTTATTTTACAGCCTCTGGAGGCTACTGATTAACAGAATCAGATGCTGCTCACAGAAAATGTACATAAATAAAGCTTTTCAATTTTACTTTTTCCTCTGTATTGGTGCTCCTGCAACTAAGCTCTTCAAAATAAAAGCACTTCCAGTGTAACACATATGTTTACATGGTGCAAATTCTGATTCTGGACAGAACTGGCCTGTGAGTTTATGCTGCAAAGCCTGTGCCAGAATTACCTCGATGGCAGCTTTCTTTGAGAAACAAACAGAACAAACTCACTCTGCTACTGAAATCGGCTTTCCTTCGCTTTAGTCTCCTGTGTTCTGAAGCGGCGCGTTCTCAGCTTGAATGTGAAACATCCTTCTAATGACAATAACCCGAAATAAACGACTGACGGAGCCCGCACCAAGCGCGGTCCGAACCAACACACCCCCCGCCCCCCCTCAGTGCCGCCACCACCCTCCCACCGCGGCTGGGCCGCCTCCGCCTCACCTCCTGCATCCCGGCGCTCAGTACACCGGCAGTCAAGGCCCGCGGGGCGTCCGCCCTCCAAGGGGCTCCTCAGGCCGAGCCGCGAGCACCGTCCGCGGGGCAGGGGTGGCCGGGCCGGGGCCGGAGGGACGGGGACAGACCCAGACCGAGGAGCGCACCTCAGCTCCCCTCAGGTACCCGCGCGGCTGGGCGGCCCCACCCCCGGGGCGGAGCAGCGTGCAACGCTCACTTCTCATTGGCTATTCTCACTGCAGCTCGTGCGCGCCGCTCGTTCCGCATTGGCTACTGGCAGCGCGGGCGGCACGCGGGCGGTGCTGCGGCCGGAGGCAGCGGGGCGGGGCGGAAAGAGGCGGTACCGTGCGCGGGGCGGGCCCGCGTCCTGCCCCGCCCCGCCCCTCTCAGCAGTGCCCCCCCGCTGGAGCGGCGGGGACCACGAGGGGGCGCCCCCTGGCGGCTGGGCGGGGTGCAGCTGCCTGCAGCCGTTCCGGGCGGAGCGAAGGCTCCGCGGTTGCGTTCTCAGGGCCCGGTTCCAGGCGCGCTGACGCGTTCGGGACCGTGGCTCCCCGCACGGGCCCCAGCGTGGGCACCGTCAGTGCCTGAGCACTTCTGCCAGGCTGCGGGCACCATGGATGCCGTGCTGCGCCCGCCCCAAGCTCCAGCGTGCCCGAGCTCCTCAGCATGGGTGCTGGTGGTCACACGAAGCCCAAGTGCTCAGCTCTAAGTGCTGAGCAGCAAAGACACTGGACAGAGAGAAGGACCCACGTGTGAAGCCTGTGCCGGGGAAGAGAGGCCTAATGTTTAATGTGACAGTAACAGCAGCGAAGAGGAGGCCAGGGATGTTTAAAGGACAAATTTGCCTCTGTGTGGGTTCTGTGACTGACCAAGTGCTCCTATGCTTCTCTGCGGCTTCCTCGCTAGAATTCAGCTGTTGACAAGAGGGAAGGACACTGGGATTGTCTGCAGGACTGCTGCTGGTTTATGTGAAACAGCAACTTACGATAAATGTACGATAAAACACCTTGGTCATAAGGCATCATCACCTCAATGGATTGTTATCACTGGGTCTGAGGGTCATAGCGTTGAACACAAAGACCACTGAAAGGCCAAGGGAACAAAGTAACCTCGGGGGCATGTAGGTGTGTATTTAAATAGGTGCAGGAACAAAACCCAAATGCCTTACTTTGGATTTTTCTTAAGCGTAAAAGAAGCCCAGAGAAGCTGCAGCTGCCCCATCCCTGGCAGTGTTCAAGGCCAGGCTGGACGGGGTTTGGAGCAACCTGTTCTGGTGAAGGTGTCCCTGCCCATGGCAGGGGGGTGGAACTGGATGAGCTTTAAGGTCCTTTCAACTCAAGGCAGTCTGTGACTCTGTGATTCCTGGTTAGCACTGCACACAGTTTGCCACAGATAGATTGACAGTTTATTGTCTGTCATCATATGCTTTGCATTTCATCTGAGTAAACTTTGGTTATCAGGTTAAAACTTCCTCTTGTTGGTCAGAAAATATTTTTCTGGACTGGTATGTTTCTGGACTGATTGATTGAATGGAGCAGGGATTAATTAACCTGTTTAATGCATGATAGTGGCACAAACAGGTTGTAACCAGTGCCATACTGTGGAGAATTAGAGCTGGAGAGTGAATATATCAGGAGGCTGAAAATTACCATTTAGATTTTGCTCCTGGACACAGGAATAAGGTTACATGTGACAAGTATGGTCAGAGAGCTGGTACCCAGCATCTGTGAGGTGCAGGTTAGTAACTTTTGCTCTTTGTAAGGGATTGCATGGGTGAATGAAATTGCACTTGGGGTGGGGGTAACCTCAATGACAAGGAAACATTTGTTAGTTTATGGTTCTTTCTTCATCCTGGTCTGTACTGCTCCCCTGTGCAGGGCCAGAACAGGCCTGGGGCTCAGCTCACTTTAACACTCCCAAGAGCCCTGCTGACTTGTGTGGGGAAAAAGGTTTTGGCTGAGTTTCACTTTAAGTTCCCTGGTATTTCACTGCCCTTCTGGAGAACAGAGCAGCAAGAGCTGAAGCTTTAGTGCAGCAAGTTTTTCAAACAATATGTGCTTCAATAGAAAAGAGGCTTGAGGCTTGCTGCCCCAGCACAGAGACAACAGGATGTCTGAAAAATACATCAGGCCAGCAGCAGAGGAAAAGAGCTGTAGTGTGCATAACCAACTGTATGTGCTTCATCAAAGTTGGCTACACTGGGGCCCTCAGAAAACCTGAATTACATAGATGAAACCTGAATTACATAGATGGAAAAATACCTTTGCTACTATGAAGGCTATAAATATATGTCAAAATCTAATTTAAAAGTTCAGTACTAAGAATATGCATTGCCTTTTTTAATCTCTGAAATACGTCATCTGCCTCTGCCTCAGAGCATCTCTTCAAAAATACCTGGCATTTATGAGCAAACACTTACAGATACACTTAGTATGTTCTTATTCACTTATTAATTAACTTGCTCACTTATTAAACACTTATTCATACACATAATCGTTTCTCCTTCTTACCCAAAGTAAGTTACAGGTGGATTCTAAGTACAAACCTGGAGTCCCATGACTCTGCTTTTGCACATGTCACAGGAGACGCGGTTAACTGAAGTAACTAGTGATCAACATCAGAATAAACACTTGTGCACACCCATTTGCAAACCCATTATGAAATACACTTTTATTTACGTTTAGTTGTAAGCAGAGGTACATTCTGACTACATTCTGTTGGAGACTTACATGTTACAGAGCTTCTGTGGTTTAGTGCAGTAGTTTGTCCTAACCTTCTCATTAACACAGTCACTATAGTCAGTGTTACATTTACCACACTTGCAGCTCACAGCCACAGGGTAGGAGTAATAAGGGATGGTGTGATGAGGACAGCCTGGAATCAGTGCTGTTTTATACAGCATCTCTTTATATGTGCAAACGTTCTGGGACAGAGCGCTTTTGAGTAGCAGCTTCTTGCCATTGCTGTCCTGTAAAGAAAAAAGAAATGCATTGTTTCACTGAAGCATCTACGAGTGTCAGAGACCTTTTTACACTTAGACTAGCGTGAACGCTTTCAGCATGCTGCAGTTTGGATCTGCAGTTTTGAATCTGTGCATGATTGGGGCTCACTACCTCAGCACTTCAAATCACACAAGCAAGGTGAACATATCTATCTGCTTGGCTCAGTGCTGACAGTGCTTTGTAAGCTTAGTGGCTACCTGCTAACCAAGGTGCAACATCAAACGCTACACTGAACAGTGAAGCTCCCACACAGTTTTTGGCATGTCTACTTGTGAGATACTCTCCAAGCAAGCTGTCATAGCAGTAATGGGAGTAGAAGTTACCCAAGGAATTTACATTAAATAAGTTACTAAATATGGTCTACTTCTCACCTGTTCAACCCTGACCCCCCAAACTGAGTACAGAGGCTCTGTAGTGGCAACAGCAGCCAGTTCTCTGCTGTGCTGCTGATGTTAGGAGCTCCCTAGCTCCAGAAACTTAACATTTCTCCCCCATACCTTCACAACAAGCTAACTCCAAACCAGCATGACAGTGTGATTTTTCTGCCTGTGACAAACAGTATTAGATTTGTATCATTTACACCAATTTCCCAGTGAACATCACTTGTTCTGCAGTGATGGCTGTTACAGAAACAACTGCCTAAATGAGAGTAACCCTTGTACCCGAGTCATGCAGAATCCGGCACAGATGGTGGTGTTGATGGCCAGGCAGTAGGCACATTCCCTTTTCTCCACATGGATTATATACTCTGAAGGAGCACAAAGTGATGCTGTTTGACAAACAGTCAGGCCAAAGAGGAGAGACATCACGAAGAAGGGACTCATGCTGGATGGGGGGAAACAGACAAACAAAGCAAAGTGTCAGTAGAATTAGATGTACCTTCCAGCCCTCCTCTCAGAATTGACAAGAACAGTTATGACAGTCGTAGACTAGAAGTAATCTCCACTTTTTTAGCTGCAGCCTGACATCTTTCCCATCTCAGACCTTTAATGGAAACAGTACTAACCATTGGCCAAAAAAGGATAAACAGGCCATCACTGACATACAATAAACTCACTTCCCTCCCCCACTAAAGCATATTACATGAAACTTCACTCACGAGTGATAAAATGCCGATACAGAAAATAACAGGAGCTAAAGGATTTTAAAATGTGCCATGTGAGAGAACATGAGCTCCAGGATTAACCAGAGATACCAAAATAACCTTGTGGGTTAAAAATAATTTTCTAAAGAAAGCATCTTATAAAATGTGCAAGAGAGAAAAGAAGCAGCTGTGCATAGCAGGCATTGTGCACCTCCCAGTTGGCTCAGAGGCATGAAGAGATGGGAACACTGCCAAGAGTTAAATAATAGATTCAAGCAAATTACAATAAAGAACATCAGCAAAGAGTTCAATTCAACATATCCCCGCTGTTGTGCTGACCTCACTCCTCATACCTGTGGGGGGATCCCGACAACAAAGCTTTGCTTAGCTCCAACACAACTCCAGGGTCTACCCTACATCCTCCAAATTACAGCCTTTAAATGACAGTGTGAACAAACACATGGACATCACCCTCTAGTCTCTTCCAGCTACCAGTTTCCCATTGCAAAAGCCATTCGTTCCACAGTCTGGTTTACCCTGTAGCTGCAAGTCTGGAAAGACCAACCTCTTGTCAGCTGAATTCTTCCCTAATACAGGAACCTGATTCTGCCTTGAGCTGGGAGAAGCAGTGACCCAGCACCAGATCCGTGTGTGCTTTATACTCCCCAGGCTAATTCCAGGCTGATCTTACTGTTTATATAACTGCATCTGAATTGCTGCTTTCTTATCGCAAAGTCATCTATTGAAAATTCATACTGAACCACAAAGCAAATGTGATAGGAACAAATGTCTCCGTAATATCCTAACCTGGAAACTGGAGATGGAAATCTAATTATTTTAACAGTCATTCTCTCATCAGGCTTTTAAACTGGCCACTGCTTAAAATAAGTTATGTTTGATGAATTTAATCGCTACATAGGACAGCAACATCACGACAGGAAGGGTGGCATGGAAATGGAGTCATCCTGAATTACACAGGACTAATTCTACACCTGTGTTTTGTGGAAATTTAAGGAAGTGTGGCTCACCGTGTGCACTGGTTACCAGGCAGGTACCACTGCCAGAGCAGCACTACACACAGAGTAACAAATCTCAGAGCATTTGTACTCAGTGGGGTGGGTTTGGTGCAGCCTCACTTATCTAATGAAACAAAACACACAGAGAAATTATCTGGCCTCTAATATATGGAGCAAATGGTAGGTAACAAAGCGATTTGCTCTGGAATAGCAATTGATGGGGGAGAAGCTTTGAAGAAACCACTTGTGTAGCACAATGAGAAGCAAAATACTTCACTAACAGTAGTGAAACTGAGATGTCCACACATGGGGGAAAGCACTTATTTTTAGGATTTTGTGTGTGGAAAACCTGAGAGAAAGAAAAGTAAGAGAAGTTTGACAAAGCCACTGACCTATGCTGCTTCATCAGTCTGAGCAGCCTTCTTCCTGTGCTTATTCACTGCAGCTCTGCTAACATCTCCCTTCCGTAAATCAACTACCTGCCACTTGGACCTGGAACTGATACATATCTTAATGCAGGTCAACCACATTCCTGATTTATGTAGCCATAAGCAATATGATAGAGTTGAGTTTGAGCTGGTAAACATGGTCCCTATTGGTGTTTAGCTAATTCCTGAATAACATTGGCTCCTTTTCCTGAGGTTTTGGACTGCTGCACACGACTTTGGGTCCTGGAATAACTCTCCTTTTTTGGATAACATGACAGAGTTCTTGTTCCATTAAGACAAGCCAAATGCTTTCTGTTTTCATGGAGTTTCTACTTCTGGGTTAATTTCTACCATATAACTTCTTAGGAATTAAATGTAACTCTTTGTGGCTTAAGAACATGAGCAGAGTATTAATTGTACTCTCAGTAACATCTGTCCATCCACACTTTGCAATGCAAGTGTAACACTTATTTTGCTACAACTCCCATACATTATTTAACTCTATGTTTTCTGACATATTTAAAATGCAGTTAAACATGCAGGTTATATGAGTATACACATACATACACTTGTGTAGATAACAGGTATACATATATACACATTACATATACATGTATACATGACATAAATACATATGGGTTTGGTTGTTTAAAACTTTAATCAGAGAAAAGAATGTTCATTCTTGGAAATCTTAAAGAGTATTTTAAAGGAATCCTGAAAGGAAAAGGAAATAATTCACAAAACATAATCCTGGAGAGGACAAAAACTGCCCCAAATAAGAATAAAAACTGGCATTCTTAAAGCAGGAACAAAGTGTGCAGCCCTTGCAGCACAGCTGAGGTAGGTGCAGCTGATTCTTCTCTAAAAATTCCACAGTGGTTTACAAGCAGTGCTTTAGGCATTTGGAGACACTGGTCACGACAGGAAGACCCTACATCCAGGTTTAACATGTCTTCCACATATCCCTTCAGAATCTAGGCAGAGGTCAGATCACAGTATGAAGGCATATGTAAATCTTTTGCTGCTTCAAAGTGCTAATTCCTCTGATTTGAGACAATTGGGTGTAACTGGGGAGGTTCAGATTAGGAGAAAAAAGGATTTGCTTTAACAAGGTTTACGGAAATGTCTGCAAACAGCAATAGCAAAGAAAGTATAACAATGCTTGAAAGTCTGTCACAGTGAAGATGAAAAAGGGAATGCAACACTAAAAACTAGCAATGAAAAAAAGGAAAACAAACAACAACCACTGTTAGACGTGAGAAGATGCAGAAAACTTGCATGGGATGCTGGAGATTAGGAAACCAACTTCTGTCAGGCCAACAGGCACATCCAGGGCCATTGCTAGACAAAGACAAGCTGTTGGTGCAGAGGAAGTGCAAAGTCTTCAGTAAGAACATGTGCATTTGAAAACGGAGTGACTGAACAACCAACATCCACGTTTGCAACAAAATATACTAAATAAATTGTATAAAGAATAAATATTTTTAAATGAACCCCATTAAGTGGCTAATGCTGATTTCAAGAAGTTTGCACCACTGAGGAAATTTCAAAACATTAAGTGCTAATATTATGGCAATATTTAAAGAGAGAATGCTGACCCAGGTAACTCTCCACAAGGAAGCCTGACATCTATCCCTGATAAATCAGGTAAAATAACAGAAAGTTGATACAGGATTTGAGCAATAAAGAATTAACAGATGAGAACATAATGCCAGTCAAGATGGTGTTACATAAAATAGGTCATGCCACACAAACCTGATTTATTCTTTGAGGTGATTACAAATTGGTTGTTAAGGCAATTACATAGATGCAATGGCCTTAGTTCCATCTGTCCAGAGCCCCACTGTCATGAAGATTTAGAGCTCTTAGGGTGGTGTGCTCTGAATGTCAGGAATTATTAATCACTGGAGCAGGTAGTGTAATTTCAGCAGTGAATTTATTTGCTGCAACCCAGCCTTTGAATGCCCTGCAGTGCATTACAGAAATCTCTGAGTATTGAGAATGGAAATTCATCTATATGGAAGCATAATAAACTAGTCTGAATGGACCCTGAGGCTGATGTAACTGCTGCTGCTCCTCACACTCAGGTTAGCTTCACAACAATAATGGCCACAGAACTTCTTGGCTACTACCTCTTCTTTGCTGGCATCATTTTAGCCCACCCATCTGTCAGAGAGGCACTATCACTAGTCATAACATACATACACGTTTCTTCAGTAACTTACACAAACTGTTAAGCTGGTAGGAAAGCTTTTCCTTGACTGTCCTGCTGGACATGACCATAGAGCTCGTTCATTACTGACCCCTCTGAACACTTGATGGGGGTGAGATCCCACTACCTCCTGGGAGCAGCAAGACAAAACACTGTGGCAGGATAACAAAGTCCAGTGTGGCAATCTGTGAGTGCCTGAGGCTTCTTTCATCCAGTTTCCTAAAATCCAGAGTTACAAGTCTGATGCATACAGATCCTTTTCTTTGGTTGCCCCACCACTGACCTGCAGACTGTTCAGTGATAGATGTTTTTAATGTGGTTTTACAGCCACCAGCTTTGTAGCCCTGTTCTGGAACAGCCAGTTACACTGTTAATTATTTATCTTTAACCTTTCTGTTAACTAAAGCAATCCATTCACTGACATCAGTTACTTTACTTTTTCATTAAGTGAAAGACAGGATGCTGATGTTCCATTAGAAGTGTTTCAAGTGATCTCTGTAAACAGAATTCAGTAATAGTGAAATTCATGGGTTCATTACCCAGGAATCTCTCTAACAGGCTAGAGATTCAGTGCATATCACGAGATTATGCATACAAGTAACTTAGTAGGATTCTTTGTCATTGACCAATGCCTGAGATAAAAGTAGGAACAATGAGCAGGAGGTATCACATTATTCCTACTCACTCTTCCCCTGTTAGCACAAGGAAACTTCTGATCTTACAAGCAGGTTAACACACTAACTCCTGTTTCCACTGAATGCAGTGCTGTAGATATTAAAATGAAACCATGTCCATGCTTGCAAACAGCAGGGAATTAGAAGCTATGCTGATGAAAACCAGACAAAGCCCATCAGATTTCTAAACAGATTAGTATTCTGGTAGAGGAATTACTTCCAACCCCATCCTGTTGCAAACCTCCACTGATAAAAGGAAATAAGATCCTAATATGCTGTCATAGAAACAAGTGGGTTTGCCAGGTTTTGCATTTAAACAGAGTGCAGCTGCTGAATTTCCAAAGCAAGCCTCTGTAATAGCTGGAAACACAGCTCTCAGCTCTTCAATTTCCAGATCCACAGATGACTGCTATTCCCTTTTGTTCCTAGGATTAGATGCAGCATTTCCTATCCACCACAGATTAAGGCAGCAATTCCCTTTGTCATGTATCATATGCCAACAATCTCCATTTGTGGTCTGAAAATACATAATCCTTTTTGCTGTTTGGCTCAGATGATAGAACACTTTGTATTTGGTTTCAGTTCTTTGGAAAGTGCTGGACATTTCTTTTATTCTAAGATACACAATCACTATACTGAGAACATTTAAAACCCCAAACACCTGAGAAGCCTTCTGCAGTGTTCAAATGACTGGACCCACCCAAGAGCACAACAATGAATCCCTGATGAAGATCTGCTGTGCAGACTTGATACTACATGTGTCCATTTTCTAAGGATCTTTTCTTACTTTCCTGAAGGATTCACAAACACTTAACTAATTTCCATTTGCTTTTCCTATGCAGACTGGATTAATGCCTAACAAAGTTGCTTATATTTTCAGTTTCATTTACTATATATAATCTGTGCACAGGAACAGGCATCATATGAAGCAAATATGATTGACATCCTTCCTAGCTGATTATATTTCCTGTAGGATTCCTATTCTGATACTACCAAGATTTCTGTAGTTTTGCAGATGATTTATACATCACACTCATGGTATCAGGATGCACCACAGATTCATAATGCAGCCATGACAGTACTGGAAAATGACAAGGTCCTGATTACTCCTGTTGTAGTCTAGATGTGGGCAGTTCAGACTTGAATTCATATCTGTTCAAGTGGAAAGACTTTTCTCCACCTTCCAGATATTTTAGTTACTGCAAGACTCACTGTGACATGCAGAAGCTCTTACAATAACCAGCATTTCTAATTCTTACTGCTTGGTCCTTGTCATTTCTTCTCGTAGTGTCAGATACTGTACCTATACCACTAGACTGGAAATCAGGTTTGGGAGATATCAAGAAAAAACTCTAATTTTTCATCTAAAGTCTCAATTAAAAATAATTTAAAACCTATGTTTTATAGCAAGGCATTCAAGTATGAATATGGGAAGGCAGCTTGATGTGGATTTTGAATCTTAACTTCAAGATTGGAAAACTGTAGTTCATGGGTCTCTGTGTGAGCCCTGGCTGAGCAGACTTTATAGTAGAAGTCTCGTTATATTCAGAAACACCTAGAATTCTTAGTTTTGCTTGCTCAGTATCTAGCTTAGCAGATGAGTCTGCATATCTGTTGAATCTGATGTCAACAGTCGAAATTAGACATAAGCCATCTTGAAATGAAGTAATAAACACTGGCAAGTGTTCAGGTCTTGTATAAAACACCAGCCCTTTTAAAATAAATGTCAAACTGCACATATAAGTTGTGTTTCCTTTTTCCTGCAGAGGAGCTGAAGAGATATAAGTCACACTGCAAATTAAAATGAGGAATAACTGACTTTGCATGACAGTCCCTGTATCCAGGCAAAAAAGAAGTAACTCGTATATCTGGGAGAGGTTTAAATGGATTATTTTACACTACTACAGTAAAAAAATCTTTCCTGGAAAGAAGGGACATCTGGAAGGTGTGAGTTACAAGCAGCTTCTCTGTTCTGCATTTGTCCTAATTTACACTATTCAAGCAGATTTATTATAAAAACTTAATATCCTGCAAACATTTGAAATCTTTCAAAGCCATTCAAACTTCTCAGAAAATCTGCTTGTGTAACAGATTCTATTTCCAAATATAGAGGAAAAGAACATTATATTTTTTTCAGATCTCTAGAGAGTATCTGTCAGTTACATACAATAAAAAACCATTACTAATATCACTGTCAACAGATAAAGCATAAGGAACCCAAGCTACAAGCCTATACCTTAAAGTGCTACGCAAAAAGAATGAAATGCAGATGTTTTCCTACCCACTTCAGACACATTCAGGATTTTAATCTTTCACAGTAATTTAAGATGTACCTGTAGTTTTCTTGTCGTCTCTAAGCTCTGGAGCAGGTTGTTGTTGTGAAACTAGGATTAATCAAGGATTAACACAGAAATATATGTTGTTCTAAACTATTATGCCTGAGTGGCAGAAGCTGTTAGTCCATAGGAAGGCGGCCTAGTGATTTATATCTGTGTTCTTATCCAGAAAGCAACATTTGGTCCCACACTTTATGTTTCAGACAAACAATTTAATAACATCTTAACATTGCTTTTACAATCTTAAAACATGTACATATTTCTTTCTTCATGAAGCCAAAATCTTTTTGAACTGAAGTAGCTCTACTGGAAATTCAAATGTAAAAGTTTCAAAACTGTTTTAACATATTGAAATAGGAGCTACTGAAAACAAAACAGTCTAAAAAGACAATTCTAGTAACATTTAAAACGAACAGAAAAGCAAGATGATGTCAAGTAAAAGCACATGCAGTTTAACAGCTTCAAGATTTCTTTAAGTGATATCCTTTTGTGAATTACGTATTAAGATAATAAATTTAAAAGAACAAAACGGTATTTCTCTAAAACCAGTATTTCTAATGCCAGACTTTTGTATTTCATTTTGAAACAACTTTCGATGTAGTTATACCCATCTCAACATTTACAAATGGGCTGATTTGTCTACCGACTGTGTAGTGTAGGGGATGAAATGCAAAACCTGCTCTGCAGGTGGATGGAGTTACATATCTCGAACATTTATGTGTATAAAGGAAACAAATGTAGTATTAAACATACTGAGTATGACAGGAAAATGCAACAATGTATTAACTCTGAGAGAATCCTACTACTGTGGCTGCACTCATCAGACCATGCTAGGGCACTGGTCAGTTTGTCATTTTAAGTAAAGAACTTCTCAGCTTCTTTCATTTTCCTTTTTCTGTCCAGTTTGGAAACTGCTGTCCACCCTGCCTCACGCATCTTCCTCATGGTTGACAGTTTCAGTACAGAGCCTGGGGTCTTCACGTTTAATGCAGCTGGTTTCTAAGAAGAGAAATTAAGTCATTCAGTAATTCCTATAATCCATTTAAGTAACTGGTTTGTTGTGAAAACAAACGCTAAGGTACCTTTTTTGGTGTCATGGTATATAATTGTGAAGCCTGAGGATAATCCCTGTACAGTTTTTTAAACATTTCTTCCTCTGAGACTAGGCTCTAAAAAAAAAAAAAGTTACTTAAACTATGTGCAAAAACTATCCTTTTTTTTCCTTTTCTCCATGGGGGGGTGTGTGTGTGTGTGTGTTAGAGTATTCAATAAAAGTTAGGATGTTACTATGAAGCCTCAACAGTTCAATAAAAACAATATAAAATGTTATTCTATGACTGAATAGACTTCTTATAGCAGTACTGTCTCTCATAGAGTTACTCATTCTGTACATAGAAATGCAGTTCCAGAGAGAAACACTGAAATACAAATATACACATAATATTGTCTTGGAACCCCACATGCTTTCTATACATTCTTATATATAGCAGTGTGTCTGATTTTACCAGGAGGTCACTGTGCTCAGAGCTGTCTGACTGCGTGTCCAGCTGGAGCAGCACTTTCTGCTTTTTCCTCATGCTCTGCTCTGAGACCATGTTTATGCTTTCACTCTGCAGTTTCTGTACTGGAGGAGTCTTTATTATGTATGCCTGAGAAAGAGTATACTTGTAATTGTTCATTCTATTTTCAGTGTCAATTATAGAACATAAAACCCAAACTACTAACCCAGTTTACAGACTGAGTGCAGGAAGACTAGAGACATGCTGTGGAACAATTCATTATCATTCTATCCAGAATGTGGGGCATAAACCCAGACAAAGGAAAAAAGTCCCTTTTTCGCTGCCAAACAAGGAGAATGAACAGGAAGCTGTGGGAGAACTGAGTTTTACGGCTGATTGTATTTAACTTCTTCACGCTTACCTACAGAAACTCAGGGTATTCCGAACTGTAGCTC